CTTCGTCTCGGGTCATGGCTGCCAGTCTTTTTTTTTTTTTTTAATTCACACAATATTTTTTAATTTATGAAGGTCTGGCATGCTTTTCACCTTTTTTTTAAAATTATTTTGCATGTGATTTAAAATATTAATTTTTATTATAATATCAATTCAATAAAAAAATTTAAAAAAATTAATTTTAAGTACTCCACCCCAAATTAAGATAATTTGAGACAAGATTATGTATACTAATAAAATAAAATTATAAACATTCAAAAATTTTTAATATACTTAATCATTATGCTACAATATCATTTTAATTCTCTCTTCATTTGAAGATAATATTAAAAAAATATTATTAATGAAACTTTATTTTTTAAATTGTTTTATATTTTGGGATAATAAAATTTCTCAAAATTGTTTTACAATTTGAAATGGAAGAAGTATTTATTAATATTACCAAGAAATAAGGAATTTTCAGCCTTATAAATAAAATGTTTCTTTTCCATATAGATTAATGTAGATGCTAAATTTGTAGTGATGGCATGCTTGCAGCTGGGTTGATTTCTTTCCAATGCTTAAACATATCTACTAGCGGTGTTCATGGGACCAGAACACCCTTGTCCTATGTGCTGTCCTAAAAAAAGATCAAAACTAAATGTTTATCCTGTGACCCATCATATCCCGAAAGTCATCATGTCCTGTTAGGGATTGGGACGAAATCGAAACTTTTCGTTGATCCAATAAATTGGACAATATTAGGGAAAGATTTAGATAATAACATTCATTAAAATTTTAAATCATATAATTTATTAAGTTTAAAATTAAAACAACACAACTACATAAATCACAACAATTTAAAATCAATTATTGAATTATATTAATCACAACTAAACACTGTGATAGCCATTACAAATGATTTCTAAGTTATAAGAGAAATAACAACATGCAAGTTAAGTACAATATCAAATTATTGTTCTTCTACTTCAATTAAAATGTATTAAGCTAATTACTCTTTCTAAAATAAAACAAAAAATATGACAAAAATAAAAGTTATTAAATAGATAGATATAAGAATAAATTGTATTAATATAATTAATATATTATAAAAAAAGATATCACCTTATTTACTTTATGTCATTGAAATTATCAATATAAAAAAATTAATTTTAAATAAGAATTGCATATATTGAAATTATATTTGATATAATTAATATATATTTTTGAAATAAAATTAATATATATATATATATATATAATATTCGGGACGGGACGGGATATTTCTGTGGTAATCTCGAATCCTGTCCCAAATCTTTTTCCTATTTTGTCTCTCAATTTCATCTTGATTGTTTTCGGGTTGGGACAAAATCCGTCCTAATATAATTAAAATGATATTGAATCAATGAGAATAGATATAAGTCTTAATATCTGTCGACCCTATTTGAAATTTTAAGTCCATTTATAAATGGACCCAATTAACTTAGTATGGGTGACAATCAGAGCGTACTACCGCGTCCTATGGTCACAAGTACTCGGTGGGCGGGGCACCAAACTCAACTGGAAAGTAAAACGTCGCTCCATGAACCCCAAACAGCCCCGTTAAGTCAACCCAGACCAGTTATTAACATAGCTTAAACTTCAGAATTGTAGGGCTTTACCCCAGAGGGAGCCCTTCCAGAAATTCTCAAGGGCCTGAGCCAAACCCAGGGCCCAAGAGGGGGTTTGGAAATAGTTTTCAACCAGCAATAGACGCGCCTCGGTTGGAACCTCACTAGCTGCGTCATTGCCCCAAGCGCAAAGATGGCAGCAAAGTGCGTCTAAATCTTCGTTTTATAGGCATTATCGTAAACCTCGCTCTTTTTATTAGCCGATGTGGGACGAGAAACTTGAACTTGGCCATACAATATGTCCCTCTGTAGCTCGCCACGCTATACGATGCATCTGATAACTACGTCTTCACATACCTGTTTTTAACAATGCATCTAAATTGCATCTTAAAAGTCAACAAGATTCAGATTTAAGGTGCTAGTGGAATTAGAAATTCTCGTGGTAAGAGAGGAGGATCTGCAAGATCTGTCGCAAAAATTGGAAGATCATCAATGCTGCTCTAGCTAGCACCTTCATTTCTAGGTACTGGCTGTCCGTTTGAAGTTGACATTCGAGGTTGCTAGATGCTTCTCCCTGTGGAAAGAAATTGAAGAAAGGAGAGAAGGGTGAGATAAGAGTAGCAGGTTACTTTAATTTTGATCTGATTGTGTCACTTTCAACTCATTTCATGATTCACTCTGCGACACACATATATTTTCACTGTCAATGCTGTTATGACTCATCTTTGGATCCACGCCATACTATAAACATCGAGTTCAACTAGGTTTAGAGGAACAGAGAAAACCTGTCACAATAATATTGTTCCTTCTTTTCACAACATGGGACTTATTATTGCTTATATCATATTGAAGGAGAAAATTCAACCATGCTACTGTCACATTTCCTGAACATTACAGTTCATAACCCTTACTATAATTCAGAGGAAAATGAGGACATAAAGATTTATCTCTTGCATGATAAGTCATGAAGAAGTAATTCACCTCAACAACTTTCCTTGGGTGATTATTTCCATGCTTATCATGCAAATCGTCAATCCTTATCAGGAGTTCAGCAGGACCATACTCTCAGGAATCTTAAAAAGGTCAATATGAAAGTAAGACCATTACTGTAGAATTCAAAATATTGGCTCAAGTCTTTTTTTTTTTTCATCTAAAAAAAATCACCATTTTTCATTCATTCTCACTCTCTGAATATGCTCTGTTATCTGCCGTTCTATTTGAACTCATCATTGAAAAGTTTATTCTATATTTTAACATTGCATTGCATATCTTTTCAAAAATCCACGGGGAGAAACTTTGAACGTGTTCGTGGCCTAAACGCTACCTCTTTGCTAAAGCTTTTCAAAAAGTAAGCTTCAAAAGAATGATAATCCTCGACAATGATATATGGTGATTTTCAAATAGAGTGATATAAGAGAATAAAAGTATGTAAAGGAACACACAGAATAAAAATCTATCCGAGAGCCACACAAATAGCTGCATGCGGGAAGATATTCGTGGCAATTATGGAGATGCTGTTATAGCAAATATACAAAGATCCTGCTTCTTGGGAAATTCTTTTTCATAGCGAATTTAACACATTGGCATATCCTTAACCTATTGCCAAACGTATCCATCTTCTCTTTCATAATCTCTCTTTGAACTGAAACTTCGAGACGTGATTCCTCTTGAAAGCAATATTTTGCACGGTTTTTTCTCCAAGTTATATATTCTTCATTATCGATTGGTTTACCCTAAATCTTGTGGTCTGACTTTTGTGGGTAAGTTATATGTTCTTCGTTATCCAATGTTTGTTGATTGGTTTACCCTAAATTAATCTCGTGGTCTGACTTTCGTGGGTTCTGAAGTGGTTTCGTGCTTATGCAACTTAATTTCAATATGCTAGAACTGTGTAGACCTGTTCTTTATCGATAGCAGAGTTTCTATTTTAGACTTGTTTCTTTACTGGGTCCATGTACCATGAATAGACAGCCACGTTTTTACACTTGGCTTCACCAATTCTTTGGCAAAAATGAGAGAGCAAAGTTGGCCCAAAAAAACAGAGAGAAAGAGAGAGCAAATAAAGAAGCTGATACACTTAATTAGATTTGTTGGTTGTCACTTTGTTAATTATACTCCACACGCACCTTTCCTATTGAGATTCGAGTGATGCTTCACCACATTATAAAAACTAGTTCTTTCTTCTCAACCTAACTCCTGTTGGTTCTTGTGTGTATATTTATTCAACATATGAGAACATGGGTGTTTATATCCACAATGTAGAGCTATCCTTATAAATATAAGATTGTTCTTGAATAATTACCATGAATGAAATAATAAATGTGGAGATTTGATCAAAACTTATAATAGAAAAAAATACCCCAGACAAACCAAATCAATTGTATCCTGATTTATTTACAATGCAAAACCAATTGCTTCTGAGAACATCAAAACATGTATACAGAAATATTGCTGCCCCAAATATGAAAAGTGCAATTGCATACCCACAAAAGAAAATCCATGTGAAAGGAAATTTAAGATGCATTTGATACTGTGCGGTATTCAAGATGTCGTAGTATATATTATTAAAAATATGTTCTGGTTCAGTGTAGACTGCCTGAAACTGATCTGGTTGAATAGCCTGCTTGGTGATGGTGACTAGCCAACCACGCGCATATTACACAGCATCATCCACAACCTTCTGCTATTGTGTGGTTAGGTTTCTTTCAAAACTAATGGCTCTAAATACGGAATATCAATTCACTCAAGTCGCCTTACTCCTCAGTCACCAACTTTGGAAAAGTTAAAGAAAGAGATAAAGACTAATTCGTCAGCATATAATATATATTTATTAGTTAACTAAATGATAAAATATAGTATTAACGATATTGTACCACAATATTTTTGAACCACTTGACAGCTTCACTTTCACTTGCCTTGACCCATTCAAGGTCCTACTTCAGTGGAGTAACTGCATATTGTGGGCCTCACACACCACTTATAGTAAGTGAACAAAATAGATGTAAATCACAACAACTTTATACGATTTGGATTGTGAGTTTCACCTTCATAAAATATACGTTGATACCAGTAGATTTACAGAAAATCCTACAGTACATGGGCGAACCGGCCTCCCGCATAAATAAATGCGATCAGAAGAAATTTAATTTTATCTTTGAACTACAATAATCTAACTGAATATATATATGTATATGTATATATATTATAATTTTGATAGATAAAGTACAGTTTCCCACAAGGTATTGGCATGCATGGATTTACATGAGGTACGTAAATGGACGGTTACAAGAGTGTCCTTTAGAAAATATTTTATCTCGTGAAAAGTGGTTACAAAAGTAGGGTACAACAAAAACGGAGTAGAATTAGTCCATTATAGAATAGTGATTCATGTTAAGGGCTTTCCATTTTTCCTATAAATAGGTTCTTGTGGTGAGAGAGCTAACATTCCAAAGCTGCAAATCCGGTGATTTAATTTTCTCTTGCTGAGATATATTATTATTATCTCATCTCCTTCTCTTCTGATACTGTAGAGTGTAGAGAGAAGATGAGTATGGTGAGGCTTGTTGACAGAAGATAGAGAGCACAGATGATGATATGCATATCACATGAAACTCATTTCACTGCATTTCATTCCTTTGTGCTCTCTATTCTTCTGTCATCACATTCAGCCTCTCCTCATAATTCCTCTATATCTCTCTCTCCCCCCCCCTCCAGCTACATCACCTCTTAATTCATGTTTTAATTTTTCTCTGTCAAAGTTTTATTATTTCTCCTCTGAACCAATCATTTTATTCTTTTTTTCATTTTATTTTATTTCCTGCTAGTTCATTTCACTATCAGTACATGTATACAGGCGCAGTGACAAGCTAGAGATCACAAGTCAGTTTGTTGATGGTGTATCTGAAGAACTGGGCATATGAGCAACTGATGGGAGAGTCTGTGCAGCACTGGTAAAACGTAAACTGGATCTATAATTTATTAATAACACCTCTCTGTGTGTGTAAAAGGTTATAAAGACGTATAGCATTATTTTTTTAATATTATAAAACATTAAGGCGTTGTTGGATCATATATGTATCTTCTGGTTTCTTCTGAAAGAAAAATCTCACGTTCTTTTGATCATATATATATATATATATATTATATGATCTATATATATATATGATCATTGATCACACAGAATGATTAGCAGGAGAGAGACTGATCCACGACCACGCTTCATCTTCTTTGTGGTAGGAAGAAATCAGGGAAATAGCAGAGAGTAGCTGAACAAAGCGAATACAATTAATGGGTCCAACTGACCATGATACAACGAACGTGTGACATATACTTACTTATTCAGGATTCTTCCTCCAAGTTACTTTTGCCCCAACTTGTTCATTAATTTGCTAAGGTGATCTCAAAAATATATATGCAGTCAGTTAATATATATATATATATATATATTGTTCAGATAACAGCAAAAGAGGTCGAAAACTTGTCACTGGGTGATGATTTGATGTATAAATCCGGTCCTTCAATGGTACAACTTGCATTTTTATTTTTATTTTTATCAACAATCTGGTCCTTGAAAATATAGTATTTACCGTGCGTGAACAGTACAGAAGAATAAAAGTGAAAAAGGCGTGGTCCCTGTCAATTATTGGAAGTGTCATATGAAAGTGGGAAAAATTTTGAAATGGTTTACAAATTACAACTGTGAGACAGTGGAATCAAACAGACACAGAGGCTTCGTTTTCTAAGGGGTAACATCCAAGAAGACAGAAACCGTTTCCTGTAAACAATGCGAGCCACATAATTATAAAAGCACAGCACGCAAGCATAAAAGAAAAATCACGTGTGGGGTATTGCTGGTACTTGCATGTTTGTGTGTCCAAGGGAAGATTGAAGTGAAAGAAGAAAATTAAGGTCCTCTAATTTTCTAAACCAACTGGATTGGATCTTAAGAAGGACAGTCTGTTAAATCCTGAACCCGATCCAGGTCACACACACAAGACATCTTCTAGTTGCTCGGCCTGTAAATGAAATGACAGAAGCCACTTATCTGATTTTATTTTATTTAGTTGGTCAGTATGTAATATACAGTAACTAGATATATGTCATCTTTGTTTAAGCATGACTGTCTTGGAAAAATCAGCACGCATGAGCTCAGATAGAGCTTACAAGTACCTAAACTAGAGCCATAAGTACCTTGTAGTAATTGTCCCGCAGGAAACACACAATTGATACATCTATTTACATGTGCTAATTAAATATTAAAAGAAAAGATTCACATATTATTTTTTAATTTTCATTCAACAAACGGTAATTAAGATATATATTTGAAGGCATGGCTTGGACCCGCGATGCGAGAATTACAAGGATGCATGTCTTGATGCCCACTTGAACAAAAGATTCTTGGCATTCACGTATAATTTTTACTGTTGATAATTTCACAATTTTGTGGATTTATACTAAAAGAGAATACAGAGCTAGAGAGTTGGGGAGAAGGTTTAGGCTGTTTTATCACAATCTTGCATCATACTCGAATTATAAAATTAGATATTTTTTGGACTCACACCAAATCTCGCAATTAGACTTCCATTTATTCTCTCCAAACATCAACATTCTTTCTTTTTGGTAATATGTTATACATTACAGGTTGAGATGTTGATGATCAGTAATGTAACTTCTGGTTGTGTGTGGCTCGTTGATTATTTTGAAAAGAAGTCCATTTTCATTTTGGCAAATATTTTTGTGAATGAGAATTGGTAAGTATTAGTTCACTCATGACTCGTTCTATAAACCTTATTTAGGGTTATCGCATAACGAGGGACCTTTGTAATGCTGTTATGTTTTATGTGCATGCACACAGAGAGATGGGCCAAAAACATACACCCGCACACTCACAGTCAAAATTAGAGTTGGATCAGTCGATTGGTTAATTGAACTTGGATTTAGTCTGCCTTAATTTCAACTAAATTGCGTGACTTGAAGATACTCACATGCTTACTAGATTTAAAAGCGACTGTTTTCAGTGATAAAAAACTTGCACTAGATCAACCAATTCAATTTAAAAACTAGTAAATTAGTGCATGCTTCCAATATGTTTGACTTTGAAGATCAACTAAAAATTTGACTGAAAGCAAACACGATACATACATACATACATACATACATATATATATAAGGTTAATTCTGACATTAAATTGACGGTTCATTAACTTATAATTTTATGCAAATTAAGAAATAACGTCTATGAAATTTGGTGAAAATAAGATGCTTAAGAAATTATGAATCTACTTGACACAAATTTACAGTAAAATATATCATATGTTAATTAAACAATTCAAAATATTTAAATGCACTTAAATAAGCATAATATAAATAAGCATGAAATATTATGTCTTGATATTTCTTATAGATTCTCAACCTGAATTTAAATACGCTTTAAAGTTTTCGATGCATATCATATAAAACTTATCCCATGGCAGTACAAATATGTATCATTAGGTTAGTGCGTGATGAGGCACAATCGCAAGGGCCTTCTTCACGGAATCACAGGGCAGAAAAGTTCCGGGCGGCTGAGAAATTCATCCAATGAAAACTAAAGGCACGTCAGAAACCAACAACTAACATACAAAAGGCAAATTGCTAGCTAGGGAACCAACAAATATACGTTGAACTGCCCCCATCAACTCCAAATATTTCTGCTTCTCCACACAATACACGTTACAATTCTGTTCTAGTTTTTTCTCCACTCTTCGACATCTATATAAATACATGTAAACAGCATCTTTAAATGAAAGAATCAACAAGTATAATCATCATAACATATGACTATATGAACATCAGTACTGAAGAAGCTTATGGAGAGGGGGAAAAAATACGAATGGGAAAAATTCCTATTTTGATGCTCTTCCAGTTAAAGTGATTCTCATATTTTGACCTGCAAACCAATGATAACACTTATGACCTCTTTATTGAAGTGTTGCCTGTCATTGCATCAGCAAGTTCAATTGTAGGGTTATCTCAACATATTACACACAGTAAGCTCAGCTGTGTTCTTTTCAGCCACACAAGCATGACTTGATGTGATGTACAGTTGTATATGTTGGAACATAAATTCATGATGTATTACATGTACGCATCGCACGACTTTTCTTCTTTTTTCTTTTCTTTTTTTTTAACCCACTAAATCATTCCAAATTTTCACTTGGCCAGAGTAAAGATCATTCGCTAAAACTATCCAATCTGACGTGACAAATATTGATCATTAAACTTGTACAAATAGAATAAAGACCAAAACATATAATTCATGCAGTTTCTAAAAGTTGGTCTTTCAAGTCTTGCAATAACAACAAAATATGCAGTTTTTAATAATAAATACAATATAAATTTATTCCTACCAAAATTTCTTCGTGAAATATACTTTTTACTACCAAGTTAAAATCACAAAGCACTAATTATGCAACCGCGAGATGGTATACACAGCCATAACCTTTCTCTCACTCAGAACACGGACACACACACACACTATTTCAGTGATCGATATACACAATTCACAACTAAACTTTGGGGTAAGATACAAGTTTAATGAGCATCTAATTCACCTGGTGCAACTACAGATGCAATAACAGACTTATGCTAATTCAGCATCTCCATCTTCCCTCTCCCTGAAGGACTTGCTGTGAAGATCTCGTGTGATTTGAGTTGTCGTATCCAAGAAGTACAATACAAAAGAAGTCAAGCAGCAGCAAGCAAACATAGGTATGGGTCCATAAATCCAGAGAACAAGAGCAAACGATAAGTAAAATGCCCTCAAACCGAGGGACCAAGCAAAACTGCCCCGATTCAATGTTTTTGCAACATACTCAATAAAATCTTTTTTACCTTTGAGTGCAGGTGCTGTGATTAAGAAGCTGACATGTGCATAGTATCTAATAGATTGTACATTGCATAGGAATGCGATAAGAAAGCATACTGAGATAGAAAGGCGCTTGATTGCAGCACAAAGAGATCCCTTGTTGCCATAAAGCAATTTGGATGTTGAATCATTGCTTGCAAAAATACCAATTAGTGAACTAAGTGTGATTGCTGCTGTAGCAAGAAGAGTAGATGCCATGATATTGTTGCGAATTGTTTGAACCGCCAAAACCCCATTTTTAAAGGGATCCTGAAAATGCGCCAATGGAGTTCAATTTAGAATTCGTTACATGAATTATGATAAATATTGTCGAGATGGCTACTAAAATTTTAGGACAAGGTAGGTGATGCAAGTAAAAGAAAAGAGGAAGAAAATTGGACAAGAGATCAATCCATAATGCCTCTTAACCTTACACCAGCTAGAACGTATCTAATCAACAAAATATAATCAATCCAATAATATTCCCAAATCACTCTCCTCTCAACTTTAGTACTCCAATTATAAAATATACACGAGTGTAATCAATTTTTTGAAATAAAAAAAACTATATTATATTTATTACCTTATTTGATCAAGTATGACACCCCCATATCACTTAGTTTAGAAAAGAATTATTCTGTTTCTCCTGTAATTAATGTATCCTCTATTATTGTGCCATCCAATTTTCATTTAGCCCTATGTAACTTATCACATATACTGAGAAGTGATAACTGATACAACATCAACAGATTTGAAGATTTAAGAATAAAAAATTAAAAAAAAAACAATAATAATTCAGATGGAATTCCATCTAAATGCAATAACTTAGAAAGAATCTAAGACAGAGCATTAGAGGAGAATAAGCTCAACTATCAACCAAAACCTTCAAGGTAAATGGACATAAATGACCACTATCATGATAGACTACAGATTCAGAAGAACAAATTTTCTGCAAATTGAACAATAATTTAAAAACTATGCTCAAGAAATTGAGCCACATTATAGTGTTCAATGAGCAGAACGATGCGCCAAATGGCCAAAGTTTTTTCCCGTTAGTCTTTAATTGCTCATTGACCTGTGAAACGCACATGTGCTCAAAAGTTCAACCGGCTGAGGTCTCATCCGTAATCTCCTTTACTCTTTTTTTTTCTGGGCCAAAACGTAATCTCTTCACTCAAGAGAAATTTTTATGCAGATTTGTCAACTAGAGATTTGTCTTTTTGAAATTTCACAACCATAGACTTGAAGCCTTTATAAATCATTTTGCAATTTCCTCCATATCAAGGGCCTTCTGCTTCACAGGATCATAAAGTTGAAAGTTCAAATAGCCTGCACTATCTGTGCGCTTATTAATTCCCTTAACCCATTAAACAAGGTCCTAAGCAACGCCTTGCTGCTTCTTTAATTTCTCACAGGCAAATGACTTCCTTACAATAACATCCACTGACGGGTATTACCAGAATAAGCAGCAAGAATTATCCTCATCAGGATGTCAGTGTAAAGTATCTGACAGCAATATTAGCATCAGCATTTTAATAATGAAGAATTGATGGTCAAAGATGGTAGAGATGATAACCAAAACAATTGCATCATATTCAGTGGAGAGATACTGCAAGCACGGAGATTGTGCCTCTGATCCATCAACCCATAAACGTGCGACCAAGACTTTTCTTCTCTCTCTCTCTCATACTCCAACTAGGAAATAAAGCTGATTATATACTTCATCTCAGTAAAGGAAATCAAGTCAACTTTGAAAGTTTAACCATGAATCTTGTCAAGTTCCTTTGACAGACAAGCATATTGAGCAATATCTTCTTGGGGCAACAGAAAATAAGAATCTTTAACGCCTCATGTCTTAAATCTACTCTTCACAGGATGTAGTCCAGCAAGAATGCTTATAGATTTCGAGGAGTATATTAAACAAAGCCGTCCAAGAAGGGATAACCAACCAATCAAAACCCACAAAAGCCATCCAAACAACTCTAAACGTAAAGTGTGTGTGTGTATATATATATAAAAAGAAGAAGAGAGTTAAAAAAAGTCTTCAAACAACAGGGGAACAATTTAAATTATCATGGAGATATTATTGTAATTTAACATTGGCTTGAGATAGCTTAAAGTGACAAGCTTCTGATATTTATGATTTAGGATTAGCTTTTGAGTTTTTCACCAGGGATGTTTACGTCTGTTGCCCGGATCTATGTCCAACGATGATGTTGATCAATTCCTGGTTCTGATTGATTTAGACTCATCATTTCTCCTAGTCTGACCAATTGGCCTCCAAATTGAATAACACTCAACTCTCAGTAAATCTTAGAAGTAATACAACATTCAGCCAAGAAGAAGAAAAGTATTGCTATTTACGACAGCACAACACGTAATATACCTTATGGTAATAATAAAATGCAATTAAGGCATACTGCAACAGAAAAATGACGTCCTTATTAAACCCTGTGGGGTTTCCTCCACCAAATGAGCCAATTATTGCTATAAACTTGTTATCAATCAATCTCGATAAAAATTTAAAAAAAAAAAAAAGTCGTACTTCTGTCGGTAGGTACAATAAAAAAGTTCAGGGAGACAACAAACACAACGGTGAATTGACAGAGAAGAGGTGAGATAGAGAGAGAAGGATCGAGAAATTGCTTACAGTCATCATGGAAAGAACCCACTGGTGACGAGACAAAGCGTTAAGACCAATGACAGTCCGATATGGATGCCGAAGTATGGTGCAAAGAAGCCAAACGTGATACGTCCCCAGCACCACCAGACCCAGAGGCACCAAGACTAAATCAAGCTGCTGCTCTTCCATCACTTGCCCTATATAACCTTCACCTGTCAGTATTGCTGCTAAAGCTGATGATTCGTAACTCTCCTTGACGTTTTCTGATCTCTGCTGTGTCAAAGACAATACGAAAACCCCCGAAGTTTGTAATTCTCAGCAATTCCACACGTCACTTCTAGTTTGATGGCCTCTCCTCCGTCGCCACATTAACTATTGTGGACCCGTATTAAACTCTATATTTAATACTAATCACTTTAGGCGGATGCAGATTCGATTGAAGTGTTAGTATTATAAATCCGACCCCAACAACACAAACAAACCCCTTGATTCCATACCAGGATTTCAGAGTGAATCAAATCTTTGTGAAACGAAGACGAAGAAGTTCATCACAACACAAGGCAATTGATTACTCTTGATTAAGAGAAGATAGCATTCCTCCGTCTGTTCTCCTTTTACGTGTCGTTTGCACTTTGGGTTTGAGTTAGACTTAGGCATTGTATGCACTTGACGCGTTGCCCTAGTGGCAAAATGATCCCTTATACAGAGGAGGTGATAGCTTCAATCCCCTGCAAGGTTAGTTTAGCCTCCTGCCTCCTTCCAATTCAAAAAATAAAAGAGTCAGGAATTGTTTGACCAAGATAGGAGGACCCTCCCTGATTAGGAAAAGTGGTGGGAAGAAAAAGGGAGGGCTATGATTTTGTTGGAAAATGAAAATATGTTTTTTTAATTGTTATTTGTTATTTTTTTAACGTAACAATAGTATATTTTTAGTAATATATTTAACAATAATAATTACTTTAGATCTTTATAATTACATGATAAAAACATTGATAATTATATTTTATTAAAAAAATAATTTTAATAAAATAAGAGTAAAACTGTCTATATATAATTATTTTTTCTCCCTCCTTTTGAACCAAATAAAATAACATCAAAATACATCCCTTTCCTTCCCTCAAACCAAATAGACCCTTAAATTTAAAGCCATGTTATTACTAACAAGAAGAACATCTCATATTTATTTCCTAGATAATGGTGCTCAAATTTCTCATTTAATTTTCATCCATTTTATTTTTAATTTGTCTGAGTTATCAATTGATTTTTTTACGTAAAGAGAAGATAACATAGTTAAAATTTACAAACATAGATAAGGAAATATTAATGGTAACTATATAAATTAATAAAAAGAAATATAATTAGATAGGAAAGAACATATTCAAAGAAATTTTAAAATAAAAGAATAAGAGATTAGATTAATAAAAATTTAAAATGTAGCATAAGAGATTAGATTGATAAAAACTAAATTGATTTGAGGGTTAATTTGTTCTAATTCAGATACATATATATGTCAAATTATCAATATACTTTACACATTAGATTAATTTAATAGTTAATTTTTATTTTAAAGCTTAAAAGACTAACATAATAATTTAATCAAACATAAAACACCAAATCGATCCAAATTAAACTTGAGAGAGTAAATTAATAATTGAAGCAAACTTGAAGGATTGAAAATTTTATTATCCCTTATCTCTTTTATTTGACGTGGTATAAATATAGTTCTCTTTAATAAAAAAATTCCTTGGCAAAATAAAAAGGGAAAATTACCCAAAAAAAACCTTCACCAAGAATTTAGTTGTTGATAAGGACTTAGGTAAATTTCTAAAAGTTGGTCCTTCTATGTCATAAATGAGACCCGCATAATGATCATCTTTCCCTTGTTACATTTGAAAAAAAAAAAAGTGATGTGAAGCTCTTCTCCTCAAATGATGTGAAGCTCTTCTCCTTAAGCTCATTGCAACGGCATTAGTAGTGGTCATTGCCAGCAAAGTGGAGGAGTATTGGCGAGTTTGGTAGTACATTAATGTTGGCATTAGAGAACCATCTTAGGATGTTGCGCTAGAAAGTTGTTGTTGACTTTGGTAACTTTGCCCCATTTATTCGAATAATCCCATAGCTGTTCAAATTTTTTAGTGACATTCGCTCTCCCATTTCAAACGCGATAGATTTTGTTAGTCTTTATCAAAGTAATAATGGTAAAAGGGAAAGAACTAAAGAAAGGGAAGTCTAAGGTGACTAGTTTACACAAGTTTAAGCAAAATTTTTGGGTGGACAAGAAAGGTAAATGGCTGTTTAAAGGAATAGTAAAGGCAGCCGATAAATGTACAAGGGAAGTTGAAAGAATTTGTCTGAGGAAGAAAGAAGAGTGTGGTTGATGTAGAATTGCACAAGAGAAAGAGAAAGGGCAAGTACCTCCTCAAGTAAAGCAAAATTGTTAACAAGGTGTTCCTTACAACAATTTGTGAAAGTAGCAGTTTTTGTCAAGAATAATCGACAATTGAAGATTATGGTAGATAGAATTGGATTTGGTAAGATTCTAGATGTTAAGTGTACTAAATTATGCCATGCTCTTTGTGCTGAAATTATTAAAGCGATTAACTCAATAACTTCATCAATATTCATTAAAAATATGAGGTTAGTAATAGATGAGATGTTAGTTGGAATGTTAATGGGATTGCCTTATAAGGGGGGATGTTATTGAGGAAGTGGCCATTAGTAACAATGACTTATATTTGGAGTTTAAAAGGAAGTATGATAGAAAAAGGTCTAGTGACTTGAAGAGCATGCTCATGTCAAGGGGACATAATCAAAAGTTTGAGTCATTGTTTGTACTTTTTACTCTTGGGACTTGTAGTGCCTTCCCGCATTGGGAATTGTCCCACAATAGCTATTAAAGATGACATGTTGTGATAAAAGCACATTACGTTCATACAATTGATCCAATCTTGTGGTGAAAGAATTGATGAAAGAGATTAAGGATGGCTTTGAAAAAAGGGAAAATAGAAATTTTTTTGTAGATGCCTTTATTTTTTATGGTAAGAATCTAAATTTGTTTGCGTTACTTTGTGTTAATTTAGTTAACACATGTATTTTCATGCAAATATTGTTGTTTGAGGAGTTTTCATTGGTTGGTATTGCTCCATCATCATGAGATGAGCTACTTAGATATTGGGATGGTGACAAAGTCAATAAGATTGTTCAACAGAAGAAGTCTAATGTGCAAAGGCTTCTATTCTCTTCTATTAGTATAAATAATCCAAAAGTGAAAGGCAATGTGGCTTAGCCAATATTTCCTCCAGTCATAGTATTTAATACTCTAGTGAATAAAGGAATTTATGTAAACATAATGGGAATGCTTGGTAATAGTCTAGCAAAAGAACTTTTGAAAGTAGAACAAGAGGGGAAACTGGGGGAGAGAACCACTAGGGGAGACATAAGGAGAAATAGAAATTGAAAGAGAAGGGCAGATTGTGAGATCTGTGGTTGAGGGAGTATTATTAGATATTAGGAGGAAAATATTATGGAGAATATAGATATTAGAGAGAAGGGTATGTCTAAGCATAAAAATGATGTTGAAACAATTAATGTAGATTTGAAACTAGTAGAAAATGTCAATGAAACAATTAATATAGAATCGAAACTAATGATTGATTGCAAGGAACTAATACCCTGTATTGATGATAATGATAGAAGTGCAGAAGGAGATGGTTCTAATAAAGATAGTAATGATGAACTAAAGTTGAGAAAGTCTCAAAAGGTGATAAAACCTGCAATATTTTCACCTTTTATGATAGAATTTTGGGAAGGAGCCAAGCCTAATGTGATAGAGAGCTTTTGCCATCTAATAACCTAGTCGAGATGTAACATTCTAAGTTTTAAATCTGCAAATTAATTGCTAATTAAAGGGTAATTAGTAAATTAAGTGATTAATTAATTTAATCATGTTTTCAAGTTGCTAATTGACATTTTGGATTATGAATATCCTCAAGATCAAGTTAGGGTGGAAGTTTGATCAAATAGGGTCAGAATGAAAGAGCAATAGTTAGATTTTTCTCTCTACGTCACATGTTGTGGCATGTGCACCACATGCTGCAACACATAGCACAGACTTAGCATAAAGTTGCTAAAATGATCAAAAAAATAAAGGAAAATGTTGGGAAAACTTAGATTACGAAGGAGGAAGATAGAGGTTGTGTTAGGGCTTTAATTTAGGCAAGGTTATAGGTTTGCTTGGAACTTTAATCATTTAGGTAAGCTTCTTAGCAATCTTCTCTACCTATCTGCCTTAGTTTTCTTGGATTTTGAATAATGGGTGGTTGAGTTCTAAGTTGGAAGGAGATTATACTTGAACCCTAGGTCTTGCAAATGGTTGTGGGAGTTTGATTTAAGATTTTTTGAGTTAATGAGTGTTAATTTAAAGCTTGAAGTGTTGGGGCTTTGGGTTTAGATGAACTTTAGGTGAATTTGGGATTATTGGAGTTGTGTGAGCTAAAATTAATCATGAATTAACCTTGTATATGCTAAAATTAAGTAAGGTTGTAAAAGCTTTGACTAGCTCAATAATAAATATTTAGATTATTGGATAATTAAATTTAGTTAATTTGGCTAATGGGTACTAATGTTAAGTATGAGAAACTAACATATGGTGGTTGGAATTATAGATTTAGATGATTGGTGCTTCTACTAGTCAGCGGGGCTATTAGAGCAACCGTTATGCCACATGTAACCCTTTGGTAAAAAAAGAGTTAAGATAATTGAATAATTCATTCTGCTTATTGCTTGACAGATCAGTATAAACATATAAATTAAACATAGAAAATTTTGAAAGGCTATCACTCTTTCATGATATAAATTAAACACACACTTACCATTAAGAAGTAGATACATCCTCCAACATTCTTTATTGAAAATGAACGTAGCCCAACCATATGCACGTGATTTCTTTTGTGTCTCATAAATGACCTTCATTATATGGTCACTCACCTCAAGACTTGCGATTGGCAATAATAAGGCTCCCAATATATATTAGAAAAAGTAACTCAAACTTAGCTACCTCCTTTCCATATGTAATCATTTTAGTTATTTCTTTATAAGGCTTTCTATAGTAAGTATTTCTCAAGTTCTTGAAAGCATTGTCATCAACATTGACATCTTTGGTGATCTGCATACCCTCACTACATAAGCCCATCAAGTCGTTAACATCCTTAGCCTTCATTTACTTAATTTTTCCCCTTATGCATATTTCATGAGTTAGAGGGTCAAAAGCACGCATCAACTCTCCACAAATATCTCTTCAATTTTTTTTTTACAATAGGTATCAAGTAATCTATTGAATCTTAAGTTCTCTATCCTTTTCTATAATTTCTCATTTTCCTTCACATATTTTACTAGTCATTAAATTCACTAGGAGAGCAACGAGTATGGAATGAAATAGTATATTTCGTTATGTTGTCTTTGCTTTCTCTTCTATCATGCTTTATCTGAAAAAAGAAAGTTCAATTCGATATGTTGAAAATAGTCAAGTCTTTTTCTTCCATATAGGTTGCAACATGCTAATCCAACAATGTAAGACCAAGAGTAGTAATGAGATTGTAGTATGAGTTATGTGCCTCATTAATGATTTCAAAAATTACAATAGCAACCATTATTAAAATTTTCAGAACCTTATTACTCAATAATCATAAAGCTCAATCAATACAATAGTAAGCACAAAAGACTTATATATAAATAATATTGTTAGGAATA